AAATTTTATAACAACTGCAACGTTTGTATATCTTAACTACAAAATCTAACAAATTATTATCTGACTACTGACCATCTCCGGATGCCTCTTATGCCAGAGACCCGATCCCAGTCACGTGGAGGTCCCGTATCTATAGACTATGTCGCATTACATATCTACCGATAAACAAGACATGTGGTTGCATTCCTGGGTATGTCCAAATTTGGGAGGTAAACACTGCTGATCTTTTGGAAGAGGTAAGCCAAATTGCCCACTTTTTGTCGAAAATTTTGGAAGAGACCGGCCAAGCGAAAAAAAATCTAGAAAGAGTTCACTTGTACCCAAGGAAAGTAGTTACATCCATATAAAAAACCCAACAACTTTTAAACCTTCTTCTATAAAAGGGGTAGGGTACTTATGCTTTTTTATTGATAAGTGATAAACTCTGGGCTTGTCGGCAAGTAGTGTATGAGAACTACTTCTAAACGACAAGTGCTGTGCGTGCGGTGAGTGATAAACTCTAAAGAAGTTAGCAGGTAGCGTATCTCTAAATAACAATTGCTGACTTATAGCACTGCCCTCCTGTTTTTACTATATGCTATTGTTTTTTTTACAAAAAAATATGTTTGGATTTTTTAGTACAAGTGATCGTCGGAAAGAGTTTTATCATATCTTGCTAATTAACTGACCAATTATCTATTAATAGCAAGTATTATGCCACCTTTTTTAATATGTTATTAACCCTTCTAATTACTCTTTAATTGTGTATTAATTTGCATTAAACAATTTGAATCATAACAATTATTAACTTATTTATTATACTGAACTGAAACCTTATTTCTTCATTAAGACTATTCTTAATTTAATTATATACAGTATATATTTTGTATTTATGTGATTTATATGTAATGTTTGTTTCTAATACAAATAAACAATACTAATATGTGTGACTTATGCAAATCATCTAGCCATATCTAGTTTACTGTTAATCTAAATTTGAAGCAAAACTAATAACTAGTTACTGCTTCTAATTTGGTGCAAAATCTAGTTGCAAGTAATCATTTTAGAATGTAATTTACTGTAATACAATTAACTGATACAAAGATCTGATCGATGCTTAAGCTATTTTTTACTTTTTAGTTGATTACCATTATAGCTCTAAAAAAGGTGATTAACAATTATCTAAAACTTAGTATCTGAGGCTTTTGCATCTGAAATAAACCTTTGTTTATAGATATTTATTCAAGTTTTATATAAATCCAATTAAAGTATAGTGAAGAAACAAAATGATTTTTTAAAAATTTCATAACTGCATAACATTGTTATACTAAACTAAGAATAGATAAATATAAGCTTAGTTTAGAAATTCCAATATAAAGCTTAATTCAGATAAATAAATACTAGTCATACAACTAAACACAGTATAATTATATTAATATGAGATGCTATAATTTAAACAAACAAGAAATTTTATAAAATTTAAAATATATATAGCATAGAGTGTAAAATACTTCTTTAAAAGTATACTATGCTAGTCACTATAATTTTCTAATGCTAATCTTAATAATACATGCTGCTGGAACTAATATTATAAATAAAGGTATATACAAATCTGATTATATTAATCTGCATAATTTAGAAATATTCTTGGTGGATGATAATTATATAGACTAATATGAATAAAAAGATAAATAAGACATAAACAGTACATATTAAATACTTAGACTAACAAATAATTGCTAAACTTTGAGACTAAGAGTGCTCTCAACATAATTAGCTAGCTACCAAGATAGCATATAAATACTACAATTAATTGAAGCACTCCTTACTGTAATTTTGAAGATTTATAACACAAATGCAGATAATTAATTTTAGTCAATCAGAACAAGTCTATTATAAAAATGATTTAAGTTTCTCTCAGATATATAAATTAAAAGTCAAAGCTTTATTATTAATATGATTTAAAATTTCATTATTGCTATAATTATATAATAATATTCATGCAATACTGTATTGGTATTATCTATTATAGCTTAAGCCACAGTTTGAGTCATGCTCTAATCATGAAACAAGTTGTGCTTTTGATAATTATAGCTTAATCTGGTGCTATGACTTTAAAAGCCTATTTAGTTGTAGCTGATATACCATGTTTAACACACAAATTTTTTATAGCACTAATTAAAATAAAACATACATGTGACAATAAACATAAAGCCTATTTTTTAATGCAAAATACAGAAAGTCTAAGCCATACTAATACTCATCATTACACAGCATTTCTGATATAGGCAAAATCTTACAAATTAGAAGGATGGATTATCAAATTAGATGCAAAAAAACTACTCCACTTAACTTATCTTTAAACTATATACAATGACTTTGTATTTTATTCCTATATAGTATAAATTCATTATTTGTATAATTAATAATAAAATCCAGTTTATCAAATGATTTTTTATATAGTAATTTTAGAACAAAATCTGCTATAAGTTATATCACAAGATTATTAATAATCTCTGATATATCAAAAGGATTTTATTAGTAATGATTTTGTTTTATTAAAATTCTCTGTATTAAGCAATATTTATTATATCAGTGGTCTATTATATCGAGAGCCACGTGTACTTAAGTATATTAACATATGATGGTGCCATAAATACATACATATTATATATCAGAACTAGAACTAGGATATCAAGTACTAAGACTATTTATCTACGGCTAAAACCCACCAGAGCTGTCAACATTTCCACACATGTAATTGACCTGTATTTTATATATTCTTCCCCAACTGCCAATCAGTATTCACATGTCTGCCACATTACCCACAAACCTTTTATCTTCAACTTCCAAATCAGTGTATACCAAATAGGCATTTATTGCTTCCAGTTTGGTATGCCTGGCAGAGTGATTTCTTCCTCAATTCTTACTTGGTGTACTTTCCAGGAGTTCGTATCCCAAGCCATATAGCTGCCTCTACCCAAATAGATAAGTATCTCAAGCCTGCATGCTGCTGTAACTAGCTAGTTTCTTGTGATTTTTGAGACTCAGGTTTTAATATATCCAATTAGGTCTGTGCTAATGACTATACTTTCCAATATGGTAATGAGGCTGCCCAGGCATATTTCACAAATGCTTCCAGTAGTCAGTATAGTTGGAGGGCATCATGATGCTTAGAGGTAACAGATATATCATCATTTCTATTCTCAGTAGTTGTAGCCCCCAGTTATAACTACATATACTTATACTAGCTATATCTATATTGATAGTCCCGAGTCCTCTTAACACCGCAATATGTCAATATAGCTATACTAAGTCAAAACTTTATTATATACTATAACTTAACTTTTCATATACCATAGCTTTATAATTTTACAAAAGAAGTATTTACTATTAAATGGATTATGCCATTTACAATATAACTGAAGTAATTTGGTGTGAATTAATTTATCTAGTTGTGTGAGGCATTTAATTAACCTCAGAGAAGTACTTGTTTAAGAAGTGAATTTTTAAATTGTCTTACATAGATTGAATAAAGGCAAATTAGATATTAGAGATATTAAGTGGTTCGTTCAGTCTGGTTCTGGTTCAGTCCCAAGAAGTTCAAAGAAAAAACGAACTGAACTGAAGTTCATGAACTTTAGTTTAACTTTAAAGTTTAAACTTGAGTTTGAACTTGAGTTTATAAACTCAAAGTATAAACTTCGAGTCAAACTATTATTGAGCATCAAAATAAATAGTTTAACAATTCTTTAATTATTTCAATATTTCAAATAATATTATTAATAATCTAATGGCTAGATTAATTAGCTTTACATAAATGCTAACACTTATATTAAATATAAAAAAACTATATTTAAAACAATTTTTTTAATTATATCACAAATCTACAGTATAAGGTTTTCAATTTATATTTTACTTTGATATTTTTTACGTTTTAACATCAAAATATATATCGAATCTGCACTTCTCAGATCAATCAAGCAAATAAAAAGATTGATTTTACATTGATTGATTTATAATAAAAATAGATTACAAATTATATATAATTTGTATTCTTGCCATGAGGCATTATCTAACTATTTCCATGCTTATAACCAAAACCAATCCTTAACATCCATGTACTCTCACCAGAAACTTCTTCTTTAATGCTTCCTTTTATTCCTGCTTAGTTTTTTGTGTACCTAATTTTTTATATTAACTTATCATGTGGCTTTTTATGCAAGTATTTTATCAAAACTTATGGTTGAATTAATTTATTAATCAAATTAGAATAATCATGCGGATTGTATATATATTATATTAAATTTATCATTTCATGATATTTTTAATATTGTTCACTTAAGTAAATACAGTATATTTGTAAAACATAAAACAGTATTTGAATAGACAAAAAAAGCCCACACATAATAATCGTAAAGTCTTTATAATTATTATGTGCAAGTTATCTCAAACAAGGCTAATGCGTTATAAATACATATGAACTTCTTATATATATTAATAACTAGATAACCTGAAACACCAATTTATAATAGATAACATAGCAGAATTTTTATTATCCAACTAAAAAAAGTTAGTCAACACATTTCTAGTACGTCAACATGCTTCTAGTATAAAAATTCTTCTATATAAAGACAAATTCTCTAGTAATGAAAGTAATATCAAAAAGAAAAAAAACCTTGGCTATAAAAAAGCAAACCCACAAAAACATGCTAAAAAAAAAAAAAAATTTGGTTTTAGAAAAAGTACCCAAAGAAAAAAAAAAGGTCTAAGAAAAGTACCACCAAAAAAAAATTGATAGGTGCTACATAACCAAGTTACCAAGACTTATTAAAAAAACTAATTTCTACCATTATTCCAACTATTAATCATTCCTGCTTCATATCATGTTTTAAGACAAAGACTTTCATGTACTTTCTTAGCATCTATATGATTTTGTATTTTACTTATAGTATATTTAGCCACTAAAAAAATCTGCTCACTAGGTACACTGGTTGCTTGAATGACCAGATAATCTCATGCTATTCAAATAAGAGATGCCTATCGTAAGTATGAAGATTTAATTTCCAATAAGCAAGAACATTTGTATCTTCATTAGGTGCGTTAAGATACTCTTTTAATACATCATTATGCAATGTAGAACTACTACGGTGTATTTGCTTTATTTGTTTTCTAAAGTAATCACATGTAGACATTGCTTGGGTCTGATTTTCAACTTGTGAGTTAGTATTGTTTTTTTCTAATGATATATAATTTTGATATGTTGACCGAATTTTGAGCAATGCATTATGTTTTTGAGTATCACTTCCAAAGGTTGTGAATTTTGTTAATGGGTTAAAAAGAACTGCTTCATAAAAATATAATTGCAATTCATCCCAATAGTGATCGATTTTGTTACTGATTTTTTTTGCAATGCTTTTTTTAACAAAGTCTAATTCAATTTGAGTATTATCAAGAATTTCCATAATTACATAAAAACTGTTCTTAGATCTTCAAGTATTGGATGGCTCGATGAAGAAAGAAGCTTTGTCGCTTTATATATAGGTTTCAAAAGTTCAATAATTAACTATAGAATAGATTTATATATAAATATATAAATATTATTATTTAATTTACAATTTTTTTAAAAAGACTTACATCTAAGCTCAGGTAACGAAACCACCAAAATATCAGTCATTTCTCGAATTCAACAAAGTTTATTAAGCATAATATACATTGAGTTCCACCTCATATCGACATCAAGATCTGGCACAAAAAATTGTTTATTTTTCATTAAGAATATTTTTTTTAGTTCTTCAAAACAAGGCTGAAAGCATCGAATATGATTGGTAAATTCACAAGCTTTTTTTACAAAATCATCAAGAACCGAAATTCCTGCTTTAACAGCAAGATTCAATATATAAGATGCATATCTTATTCTACAAAAATTAGTATTATTATAATGTGATTGGAGCAGGTTTACCAAATGACGACCACATGTATTCATATTAGTGGCATTATCGGCAGTTAGAGACAACAATTGTGCACCTAGCCCAAAATATTCTATTTGTTCTATAATGTTCTCAGCGATAACAACTTCAATATAACATTCATGTAAAGGAATTAAATCTAGGAGGATATGTTGTATACACCAATCATTATTAATCCAATATAATATAATTGAAAGATAAGCTTGGTTAATACAAGCTGACCAAGTATCAACAGTCATTGCAACTTTATGATCAAAGTTTTGAAAAAAGTTACACAATTGTGCTCGTTCTTGCTCATATATATGTAAAACATAATCTAAAATTGTCTGTCTTGTTGGTACTTTAAAGCATGGGTTAAGTGCCAAAATTAACTTGCAAAAATCATCATTTTCAACAACTTGAAAAGCTTGTTGATCACAAATGATCCAGCGAATAAGAAGTTTATTAAGTCATTTAACCTTTCTCTCATCATAAGATCCATATAGTTCAACGTTTTGCATTAATAAGGTTGACTGCTAAATTCTATCATAACTATTTTTATGATGATTTTGAAAATGCCATTTGATCATGCTGATTCTAGTAGTTTTACTATAACGGGTGCGGCATAGTTTGCAAAAAGCAACCTTTTTGTCTTGAGACCAGTTAAAGTAGCCCACAAAAGATGTATAGTTCTTTGTCATTTAGTAGAGCATTGTTTTTCTTTAGAGTGCTGTTCTTGTTCTTCTTTAGAGTGCTGCTCTTGCTTTTCTAAGTGTGGTTCTTGATTTTTAGCACTAGTTTCTACTATGGGCTGATTATTTAAAAAAACAGACAAAGCGTCATTCTCATAATCATTTGTAATATTTTTTTGAGAAGAGTTATTATCCATATTCTCAAGATTTACTTGAAAAGTATTTTCATCTGATATAGCTAAAAGTTTTTTGGAGTTTTCTTATTTTTTTTTTTCCTTTCTATAAATGAGAAAAATCTTATAACAGTAAAGTTTTAGAATCTTTAGAGAAAATAAATAGTACATGTTAAAAAAAGAATATAATGATCTCTAATACCAAATTAAGAAGACTAACATTTTTAGTGAAGACACGAGTTTAAAAAAAAAGCTTAAATAGTTTATTGAATCTTATATACATTTCATTAAAGCTTAAAAAATGTTTATTTTAAGATCAAGAAAAAATGAAAAGAAAGGTAAAGGTAATTTTATTTTTAAGACTATAAAGGGAAAAAAAGAATGATAATTTTATGCCTTTTTTTTTTTTGGCTTGCAATATGCATATAGTATGACGATATATGATAACATATAACAAATATTGTAAAAATGTAAAGTATAAATTTTTAATTTCTTTGTAATTTAGTTCATTATTGTTATTTATTTTTTTTTTTATACGTAGTATTTCGGATTTTTTTTTCTTAATCAGTAACCAGACCACAGAACAATTGAAATTAGAATGTGCAAAAAAGGTATCTTACAATGTGACTAGAAGACTCTTTTTTTTTATATGGTTAATGGATATGATGGATCTTTGGTAGTCTTTTATATATAATAGGTCTCTTACAATATGACCATAGGACCCTTTTATTTTATACTTATAATAAGTATATTAGCAAATATTTATTTGTAAAAACAGGAAATCCAATGCATAATTTTTATGTAATCCATTATATCATCTATCAATATATATAGAAAAATAAAAAACTCAACAAGAGCAATTGTCTACTAACTTAGAATACTTAAGTATATTACATAGATAATCTAATAATATTTATAGTTCTATCTGTGCTATTTCACCCTGTAAATAAAATATCATTGTTTCACCTGTGCCATATTTCTAAATTCGTGGCCCTAAATTTCAAATATATCGATCAGTAAATTTATAAAAAGACAATGTATAAATAATTGCTAAAAGCTCAAGTAGCTTATTATTAATACATTGATTAATAGATAATCTTTAAGGTAGCGATTAAATATGAATAAATTACTTTATATTCATTATCAGTCACACAATTTGTCACACTATTTTGCTTGTAAATTTTTATATATAATATGTAGGTGAAGAAACATCACAGAATCAAAGTTTATAGTAATTTTATATGTTTTTTTTATAATTTTATATATATAAAAATTTACATGTAACAAATTGTATAACTAATATGTTACAATATTAATTTTTGTTTATACCCAGGTTTTTGATACATGCCCGAGAGAGATACTATCAATTAAAAAATATCTATATGATAAAAGATAATAAATTTGTAGTCTTATTTTCTCTTTGTAGCATTTATTATATAGGCCAATTAAATTTTAAGAATAATCATAAATTCTAGAACATCATATATAATTATGCAGTGTAAATCCTTACTATATTTGGTTCTACCGAATATGGAAAAACACCAGACTGTACTATGCGGATCTGTTCAAGATGATAATTATACAAACTAACACAGGTTGAATCAATGAATATCAGGTGCATACTAGAAGAAAAGTTTTCTGATATGTATTTGTTAATCTGCCAAAGACCTGCAACATATTAGTAATATATCGGGAGGTAGATCGATATCAGCAACATAGCAGCAAAATATTGGAATACCCAATAACTTACTTTTAGGCTCAGAGTACTAAAAGTAAGATATCAGGGTATCCCAATATGTTACCGATATCGATTTACTTCCCAAAATCTTACCCATATACTGCTAATACTTGGCGGATCTATGGAAACTAATGGGTATAGTATATATTAGAAAACTTTTCTCCTGGTATGCATCTGATATTCATTGATTTAACCTGTATAACGTGGATAAAGAGCTAAATGAGATGTTAATAGCTAATATTAAATACCAAGGCCAATTAGACCAATAAACAATTACTTAACTTAGACTAAGGGTGCTTTCAATATAATTGGGTAGCATAAGTTAATTCTGTAATTGAAGTGATCTCTACTGTAATTTTGCTGAAGTCTGACAAAAAAAGATAGCTTCAACCCTTTTTTTTATTGTGATAATGAATCTTTAAACCACTTTCTACCAATTAAAAATTGAATTCTGACCTATAATAATAATCTGTGCTTAAAAGAATCTTATGTTATATGAATAAAAATTTAAACGAGAAATTAATTAATACGTATATTGATTGATAATGTTCAATTGATTAATAAGAAAATACTTAATTGAAATATCATATAAAAACCTGACATTATATAACAAAAAGTTTCATAAACCAACTACAACACATTAAAAATTTTAGAGTAATTTATGGTGACAATATAAGTAAGTTGAAATAAATAAATACCTTTAATCATTTTTGAAATTAATTTCGTGCCAATAATTTTGCTAGTGTATATTTCATCTGGATGTCTTGGTATCGGTGATAATTTAATAAAATTATCAACATCCAAGAATTGCTTTTTAATTGAACTAGCTATCTTCTCAAGCCAATTTTTTATTGCCCAATAAACATTCCAAGCCCTAGGCCATTTTTGTGGATCAGAATTCATGCATTTCTCAGCCAATTCAATATAGCATCAGGTGCAAATCCACCACAAGTTAAAGATTTTAGAGCGATTTACAATGACAAAATATTTAAGTTAAGTAAATATCTTTAATTGCCTTTGAAATTAATTTTGTGCTAATAATTTTGCTAGTGTATATTTCATCTAGATATCTTGGTATCGGTGATGATTTGATAAAATTATCAATATTCAAGAATTGCTTTTTAATTTCGTTATTGTCTGAACTAGCTATCTTCTCAAGCCAATCTTTTATTGCCCAAATAAATATTCCAAGCCCTAGGCCATTTTTGCAAATCAGAATTTATGCATTTCTCAGCCAATTTAATATAGCATCAGGTGCAAACTTTGGTCACGATCCTTTACAAATTTCCACTGCAAGTTAAAGATTTTAGAATGATTTATAATAACAAAATATTTAAGTTAAATAAATAATACCTTTAAAGTTAATTTTGTGCTAATAATTTTGCTAGTGTATATTTTATCTGGATATTTTGGTATCATTGATAATTTAATAATATTATTAATATTCAAGAATTGCTTTTAATTTCATTATTGTCTGAACTAGCTAACTTCTCAAGCCAATCTTTTATTGCCCAATAAACATTCCAAGCACTAGGCCGTTTTTACAGATTAGAATCTATACATTTCTCAGCCAATTCAATATATCATTAGGTGCAAACTTTGGTCACGACTCTTTGCAAATTTCCACTGCATGTTAAAGATTTTAGAGCGATTTATGATGACAAAATATTTAAGTTAAATAATACCTTTAATTGCCTTTAAAATTAATTTCATGCTAATAATTTTGCTAGGGTACATTTCATCTAGATGTCTTGGTATTGGTGATGATTTGATAAAATTATCAACATCCAAGCATTGCTTTTTAATTTTGTTATCGTCTGAACTAGCTAACTTCTCATGCCAATCTTTTATTGTCCAATAAACATTCCAAGCACTAGGCCATTTTTGCGGATCAGAATTCATGTATTTCTCAGCCAATTTAATATAGCATCAGGTGCAAACTTTGGTCACGATCCTTTGCAAATTTCCACTATAAGTTTTAAATTCAATTTACGTCCATCAAAAGGTCTTTGACCAGTTGACATTTCTGCCATAATAACACCAAACCTATAAATATCTGCTGCCTGTGTAAACGCTTATTGCCTGATAAAACTTTAGAAGCAACATAGAGCATAACTCCATAAATTTCGCTAGTTAAAACATTCTCATTTACTTTTTTAGACAATCCCAGATCGACAATATAGGATTGTGTATTTTTATTAGTGCGTTGATCTTGCAAAATGTTGCTACTATAAAAATCTGCATAGATGTATCCTGTACTAGTATAAATCAAATATAACTCCCACGCAGTATATTTAAGTATTTGTAATTTAGTCTGCCATGTAAGACTAATAAAATTTTTTCTTAAATATTTATAAAGACTTCTATTATCAGCATATTAAAAGGCTATCAAGTAATTTTTTGTTTCTGTGTTTTGGGTTAGACTTTTAAACTTAAAGTTTAAACAATAAATTAGCTCAATAAACTATTAGATAAATTATTAAAGCAATAAATTAACTTACTTTTTTTAAAAAATCAGTATTTTTCTCAGAACTGGCCAATATCTTGAATGCAATAGTTCATATGCTTTTTTGTAGATATAACTATAACCATCATCAATTTTATCAACTTTTCTTACCAGGTTGCTGAATATATTGAACCAAATTCTTCACCAATTTTTTAATGTTAGATAATTTATTAAATGGAATTCACTCAATTACATTTTCTATTTCCAGGCTCTAAGTTGGAATGCTTTCATGCAATCATTAACATTTTTACCGTAGGCTTTTGAAAATAAGCTACCCTTTTTTGGCTAAAAAGTTATACAAAAATCATAGAGTAGCTTATTTTCAGGTAAAATTTTGAAAAGATTGATTTTTATTATTTTTTTCAAAATCCAGAAGTAGTTTTTATATATAAAAGTCAAAATTCTATTAAGTAAATCGATGAAAATTACTTAATAGAGGTTGTTCAGAACGTAAAAATATATATTTTCTAAAAGTTTGAAGCAAATTGGAGAACTTTTTACTAAGATGTTTTGCATTTTACGTTCAAACGTAAAATGCAAAAACATCTTAGTAAATGTTTTCTGATTTGCTTCAAACTTCAGAATATGTGTATTTTTACATCCTGAACAACTCCTATTAAGTGACTTTTATCGATTTACTTAATAGAATTTTGACTTTTATATATAGAAACTACTTCTGAATTTTGAAAAATTATTGGGGTAGCTTATTTTCGGAATAAAGATTTTCTTATATTTCTTCTTCAAGAAAAGAGGGGGTAGCTTATTTTTGAAAACCTATGG